TTTGTATATAGATTAATAGCTAATCTTTCAATTTTTATTTTTATTTTCCTTTTAGGGGTAGTTCTTTGTTAACAATTATTAGTTGCTCTCACAATCTCTACTTGTTTATGAACATATTTTATTAATTGATTTATTAGTGTGATTTATATATGTTTATTATATTCTTAATAAATATCTCTATAATTAATTTATTGCTTAAAATTTATATTTTAACTAATTATTTGTTTATTTTTGTAGAAATAATAAATTAAAGAAATTATCGAAGTCAATAAAAAAATTCGCTCATGAAAGTCATTCTTAAGAGTTCATCGAAGTCACTCTCAAGATTTCATCGAAGCCAATTGAGAAGAATACACTAATCGAAGTTATTCTCGATATCTAATTGAAATATTTCTCGATAGTTCATCAAAGACATTTCTTGATAATTCGTTCTAAAATCGAAGTTATCCGTTGATTTAGTGTACAACCATTGAGCAAAATGCATAATTTCTTATATAATTCATTAAACTATAATTCTGCTCAATGTATAAGGAATTGATGAGCGAATTTGTAGTAGAACATCAATTACACAAAAGCACAAGTCAAGTTCTATCACTACAAGAAATTTTAATATTACCGACGGTCAAAATCCGTCGGTAATAACAAAAATCCATCGGTAATTTTCATTTATTGACGGATTTTCGACAGCCAAAAATTCATCAAAAATTTGATGATCGGTAAATATTACCGACGGATATATCCGTCGCTAAATGTTTTATGAAATTACAAATGAAAGGAATCCTACCTTAGAGTTAGAGGCGATACTCCAACCACTAAGCTATCTAGAATTTTTTGATAATAATTTACAAATAAATTATATTTATATATTTATATATTTATATATTTATATATTTATATATTTATATTTTTATATTTTTATATTTTTATATTTTTATATTTTTATATTTTTATATTTTTATATATAATTAAATATTTATTTTTTAAAATTATTTAATTTAAGAAATTATTATAAATTAATCTAATTATGATTAAATTAAATTATTAAATAAAAAATATTTAATTTTTTAATTAGGTGAATATTTACTAATTGTTAATTTACAGACGAAAATATCGTCGGTAATTTACGAGATGAATTTACCGACGGATATATTCGTCGGTAAATTCATCTGTAAATTATCGACGGATTTACCGACGGATATATCCGATTAGTAAATTCATCCGTAAATTACGAACGAATTTATCGACGGATATATCCGTCGGTAACTAATTATTATTTATCCATCGGTAAAATCAAATTCCACAAATATTTTATATCCGTGTAATTTACGTCGATAATAATTATTTACCGACGGATTTAAATCCGTCGGTAAATATCCGTCGAATACGCGATTTTCTTGTAGTGTATGTTATGTAATTAATTAATTGTGGGTATTGATCATTTCATATACTAGTTTTTTTTTTTTTATAAATAGGCTTGAGAAGGTCGAAAAACAAAACTTAAGTTGAAGTCAAGTTTCATTTCAGATAGTTAATGTTAGATTAAGTTCTAATAGTTTTAAATTCTCTCTTCGTGATGCTTAGTTTCCAAGTACTGTTCATAGAGCTTCTTGCAAGAATAATATTTTGAAGGTTATCAATTCAAGTTGCTTTTGATAAGATATGCTTCATTTCTCTTATTTCTTCACTTTCATTTTCGTTTTCATCTTCTTCTATCTTTAGGCCGTTTCTTTTGTTGTTTTCATGTTTTTTCTAGTTTTTCACTTTGTGATCATGTTCTAATTCATTTTTGTTCTTAATTAACCAATTAAAACTTGTTTTCTATGGTTTATATTTGATTTTTAATTATTCTAACTAATTATCATCCATTATAATCAATATAATTGAAATTATTTTTTATTAAATGTCTCATTTACAATAAAATTCAATATTTAAGTTGAAGTGAATGCTTAATTTAGGAATTACATTGTATTTACAAATTTCAATTAAATTTTAATTATTTGAAATTATTATAGATTTGTTTTTATAATTATTAGGTAAATTCTAGAAATCAATGATAATCATTAAAATCTAATTTTTGATTGGAGAATCGACACACTTTTTCTATCAAATTTCTTTTCTATTTTTAATCTATTACACTTTAATCTTCATTTCAATTTCGTTCTTCACTTAATTTTATTTTATAATGTTTCTTTAAGTTTTGATTCAATACAATTCTTTATTTCTTTTTCATTTACAACTTTCAATAGAATAATTTTACTAGCTTTCATTTACTTTTGATGCATGTATAGTTTTCTTTACAATTTTTCTTTTATTGCTTTTATAATCTAGATTCAATGCTCTTATTTTCATTCTTTTGATTATTGTTTTTAATACATTAGTTTACTGTTTTACATTTATTTATCTTAAATAAAAAATCTAAAACCCCTCTAATTTCTAGCATTTGACAGTAAAAAATTTAAATTTAAACAAAATTGACAAATTCTCCCTAAGGATACAACCTAGACCAATCTTAATACTACATTATTTTTCTTACAAATTTTTTGATGAAATCAAAATGTCAATATATCATTTCTCAAAATGACGTTGTTGTTGGGGAGCAATTGATTGTACAAATTGGTTTTGTGTTTCGATTGTTTTTATTGTTTAAGTCCAAAAAACTCGAAAAAACAAAACAAAATGTAATGTCTTTTGTTAATTTGCTTAGTCATTTGTGTTTAGATGAGCGAATCTTATGTTTTTTGTTCAATAATTTTTACATTGTATCTAGATTTTTGTTTTATTCGTTACATCTACCTAACGAGGACTTGTTCGCTTATTAAAATGTTTGTTTTTAAATTCAGTTGGTCACTGAAATGATTTTGTCTAGCTTGTGAAATGTTTAGCAAATTCTCTTGATAGAGTGTTTCGCTTAACTGATCGGTATTCACTCAACGAATTTGCTTCACCTGAAAAAATAATAAAAAAATAAACAAGAAAATCTCTCCTCCACTGTTTAAAATATTATTCAAAACAATTTGAATGTGATAAAACTTAGAGAATTAGTTGTACCGGATGTATCATATAATAACTAAAATGATAAAAATTATGGAGAAAGAGTTTTTGAAGATTAATTAAAATAATTTTTTTAATTGATGGAGAGAATGAGATAAAATAAATAAATAATAATATAAAAATAGGTTTGAATGAATATTTTTATATTTTATTTTTAGATTTTTACAATATCAAAATATAAGTATTCTAAAAATATCAAATCAATAATCTATTTTTAAATTTAATGATAATGAGGATGTGCCATTTGTTCTTAAAACCGGTTTAATATATTTGTTGCCTAGATTATGCAATCTTGCAGGAGGATTCACACAAACACATGAAGGAATTCCACGTTATGAAATTTGAAGGTGTCACATTAAAGTAAAAGCATTTTCAGCATGAAGTTACAATACTACTTTACCTCCTAAATCTATTATAAATTGGGAGAGCTTGAAGAGGTTGTTCCTTGAAATATTGTTCCAAGCCTTAAAAATTACTTCAATAAAAAAGAAAATATGTGGTATAAGACAATTAGATAGAGAGAGTTTATTCAATTATTGAGTGTGATTTAAAATATTATATTCAAATTATACTCATTATCGTATAAGTGATTTTATCCTAAACACCAACAAGTCATTTTAGGATGAAAATAAATTATTAAAATATTTTGTTTGTTTTATTTATAAGATTATATATAATTTTTATACATTAAAATTATATATATATATATATATATATATATATATATATATATATGAAAAAGTTCAAAATAATTTAAACATTCTATTCAATCTATTAAGATAAATAACATAGTTAAATTTCTTAATACGAGAATTTAAATAGAATTAAATTTCTTAATGATGTGGAAATTTAAACATACTACGAGTTAGATCTTTCGGACAATAACCTAATCCATTACTCACATCCTTGTTGTTTCTTCATTTTTTTCCTTGTTTTGTTTCTTACTTATATTTTATTTCCAAAGGAATTGTGTTTGCAATTGCTTCCGACTCAACTTTTTCTCTCCTTCGAACATTTGGTTCCTCTTCAGTTTATTTTTTTTTTTTTCAAAATTAGAGGTTGTGTTTTATGGATTCGTGTTGTTCGTTTCTTTAAAGTGTTAACCGATTTTGTCTTTTGATTCATTTTTTTTAATTAAGTTTTTTTCATTTACAAATTCAAATCTTATTTTTTTAAAAGAGATTATACCTAATTTAGTTTGGATTACTGACTTATAAGTGTACAACTATTTATTTATTTATATATAACATTAAATATCAGATAAATATTAAAGTATAATATTAATTTCAATACATATTTTTAGAAAATTGATATGGTTTTAATATAATTAGAAAAATTAAGTATGATGCCTATTTTAACTATAATTCTATAATGATATTCGTATTTCTCTCTATGTATATATATTAGTATAATTGGAAGTTTTGTTTCATAAACTCTTTTTATGAGATAACTAAGAAGGAAAATAAAATAATAATGTAAAACTAGTTTATACACCAAGAAAAAAATTCAAGGAATTTATATGAGAAAGTTTTTACAAACAAGTTTATGAATAAATTAAATTAAATTTAAAAAAGTAATTTTATATTTTTTTCTTAATAGAAAAAAATATGTAGAAATTTTTCAGTATGTACAAATAAATGATTATGTTTGCGTATTTTGCGTATAAAATATTAATTCAAACTTTTTATTTTAGACTATAATAAGATACTGGCTACTCAGATTAACGAGAAGTTTGGCTGAAGGAGAGGGAGAGGAGAGTGGCATTGATTTGCAAAGAAAGTATCCATGTCCCTTCGTTTGGTTTAGCATATTAGCATGGAAAGTTGATTAAATCTAGGACATGTATTTACATTGAACTTTCCTTATCAGGACAAAAGGAAAAAACGTGAAAGTAGAGATGAGGTCATTTTTTAAAATCTGCCTATTTTAAACCTACACAGAAAATCTACCTACTTTAAAATGAATGGTATCGTCAAATTAGCAATTTGACTGCTATGCTCATTACTTTGAGCAATTTCCTTTAAACTAGTCCAAGATTTTCTTCGCCTTTTGCTGGATGTACTTGCTACTCCTTTTGAAGACATGTTGGTATTTTTAATAGCACTCTTGAATAAGGAACTATTCTGCTTTCTCTTCTTTTCTTCTATCAAAGATATCGTATTTGTACTTGAAGGAGTGGCAGGACTGTCCATAAGGGTGACATCCTTCGCTACAACTCGTGAAGGAAATACATTTATCTCATTGGCTTCAACATTACTTACAATCTCTTTCTCTGATTTAGAAAACTCACTTGTGATAAATTTTGAAGGTGTTGCCTCTAACCCTGATTTATCTTTTGATGGATAGATTCCTTTTAGGTGTCCCTTAGGGATTCCTCTCTTCAGATTTTGATGCAAACAAAAATGACACTTGTATACTACGTTGTTTTGAGTGATGTTGCCGCACTTCTTGCGCTTATGCCTGACCTTTGATTTATTCCTCTCAATTCGCACGGTTGAATTAAAGCCAGGTTGAAGAACAGTTTCGCATCTGCAGGGCAGTTCTATGATGATCAGGGTTGATAAACTTATTTCAAACTGAAATCTTGTGAAATTTCCAATTATAAATTGTTTAAAGATAACTCCTGAACATGAATCTGCTTAAACTCAAAAACCTGCAACTTCAAAATCTTCTTTTTGGAGTTATCTCATGTTTGATTTTTATCAAAATAAATTATTATTAATGGAAGATCACAAAATTTTTCAACAATATATCATATAAACATGGTAAGTATGCAGCAAAACACTTTATAAGCCAAACCGTGTTAAAAATAGCATGGAGAAAAAGCATAAGAAAAAAATGCTGCAACACATAGATTTTACAAATTGGATAGTGAAAACGAAAGTTGAAGCATACAGCAAATATAGAACATTGTTACATTCTCCAATTGGAATTGGTCACACAAAATATAATAGTGGCTAACAAAATATCCATCTATAGCAAAGATGAAATAAATAAAGCACTTAGCTAATTTTGATCAGATAGTAATTCTAATAATAAATAGATCACATTGCTCCGCACAACTATTCAAAATGAAGTCGTAGCAAGAGTCATTTAATAAATTTTAGTTTTCCACTAATCATTTAACCCATCAAATTTATGTATTAAAGGGAAAACTTCTGAATGCAAACTAAATAAAAGGCATTGAAGAACAAGGATAAAAAAGGTAAGCAAAATTGAAACAGGAGAGCAAACCAAACCTTTGGCAAGTTATCAGAGAAGAATCAGGTGGTACCCCATTGGCCTCTCCAAAGGAGGCGACTTGGTGTCCATAGAAGGCAGCCAAAGACGGTATGAGATGGTCGTTGGTGGTGGCCCACACTGCAAGGTTTTTCAAGTGATCAAATCTCAATTTGACCTTGGTGTTAGTGGTTGGCTTGGTTTGTATTTTTCCCGTGACTTCTTCCCTCAATGATATTGGAGCTCGAGACACAGACTCCAATATTTTTGCCCCTCCTTTCTTGCCCATGAGTTTAATTTATGGTATGGGAATTTCTTCGAACACCTGCTATGCACACACAAACACACAATATGTTGTAACGTACAGGATCAAACAAAGATAAAAGAAAGCGACAATGAATGCAAACTAAATAGCATCTAGTGTTGAGTGGTTTTGTTTCTTATAAATAGTTTCCTCCACCGATTTGAAAGAAACCAATCAAATGGATCATTTGGTGGTTAACACCAGTGATCCAATGAGGCCCAAATTTGTTTTCTACTCCTTTAAAAGACCAATCTTGGGGGATTTGCGAGATATAAATTATATCCCAACTCTTATTTACGCATATAAGTTTATTAATATAACTTGATTTAATATTTTTAAATATTTTTTAAAATGTATACAATTTTTAACCCTTAAAATATATACTTGGTAGCTCTTATATTTGGAGATATTTGGCACCCTTACAAAGTTGCAAACTATATGTTTTATTAAAGTTATTCTTATTAATAATAAGATAACAAACGAGCATGATAATTGAATTTTATAACTCATAATGACTAAGATATAACAAATTTAAATCAAAAGATAAAAGGATAAGACATTCAAGACAATTTCTTATTTGGGAAACAATAATGATTCTACTAGGCCAGCTATATGTGCCATCCCATAACTAATATATGAAGTGGAAAGATATTCTTTTCAAATAATTATATCCTCAAATATTATAATCGCGTGCGACCCGTATCTAAAAATATTTTGAAAAGCGAGGCACGGGATAATGTGTGGCAATACTCGTGTCTCAAAATTTATTGAAAACGTGACAAGCGTACAACTACACCCGAGTCTCGCCGTGCATTCGTCTAATCAACCTTTTAATACACAAATTGCATCTTAAAGATGTAGCATAAAAAGTTAAAAATAAGCACTAAGGCTTAACAACCACGACCTTAAGTGCTCTTATAAAGGACGACACTGACCCAAACCATTCAACAATAAGCATAAAATTTCAAATATTTACCACGGACTAAAATAATGGAACCCAAACAAAAATATATCGAAACCAAATTTTAAATGAAAATTTGGCAGCATAACAGAAATATCACATTCAACCACATGACCCAGGTCCTTTAACAGTTCAGAAAAAATGAAAGAAAAAACAAAACAAAAGGACCCGCTATCCTCAGCGGTCCAGATACAGTTTTTAAACAAAGTCAGGCAATCAAGCCTATCCTGCATCAAGACATCCAGAGCATAAAAAAATGTCCGAATAATTACAAACGAATCCATCATCACAAAAATCAGAGAATTTAACATCCAGATCCACCACAAAGATCAGAGGAAAACAGGGACAACATTCGGCTTTCAACATGGCAACAAAAAAGAAGACAGAACCCAAAATCCAGCCCCAGCCAACACAGATCAAAATCAAAACGGGTCAGAGTCGATACAGATTAACAATCAAAAAGACATCACAGCAAACACAGATAAAAAAGAAACAAAATCATCACAGACCAAAAATCAGAACAAAACGAAAGAAATTGACCGAGAAATCTGCTCCAACTCTGGTTCCCCTCTTCAGTCTGTGTCTCTATCGAGCAGGTATTCCATGGCCTTCATCGACCCACCAGCTCCTTGAATCGCATCGACCCTGACTCCTCAGCGCCCGTTCTCGGCCATCAATTACAGTCGCGATTCGGGAGCCCGCGATCTCTAGCCTGGCCAGCACCCCCTCAAGCAGTGGTGGCGTGGTGGGTTGCGGAGGTTTGGGTTGACACCCGTGGTGGCCACGGTGGTTTCGGCTCGCGGCGAAGGGAAATGAGAGTGGTGGTTGGGTGAGGTTAGGATGGAGGTGCGGTGACCGGTGAGCGAAACGCGGAGAGGACTCTGCGGTGGCTATGGGCTGGTGGCGCGGCGAGCGAGGGAGGAGGCTGAAGGTGCGTGGGGGGGTTGAAGATGCTGGGTGAGGCGTGCCGAGTGGGGTAGAGTGGAGGTAAAAAGAAGAAAACCCATCTACCAGACTCCAAATCAGTAAAAATAAAAGAGGAAAGGAATTATACCTCAACCTGTTGATCCGTGCCGCTCCCTCTTATGCTATGGTTGCATTCCAATTCTGTCCCGGCCTCGCGGTGGCCGTGGCGGTGGATTCAGAAGAGAAGAACTGAAAAAAGCCCTAAATCTAAAATCCCTTTTTAACGAGTTTTCGCTATTTTTGATGGATTTGTTGTGGGTAACCTGAATGAAATTGACAAGTCCGAAACTAATAACCCGTTTCTGAGAACATCATTTTCAAGCCCAATACACAATCACAAGGCCCAAACTAAATATACTCCATCTTCATTCACTCCCACTGATGCCCCGATTCAGTGAATCGCTAGTTCTTCACTAATTTGAGGTCGATCATATTAATTTTAATTATATACTTTTCTCTTATAATTTTCTTAAATTTAAATATTTATAAATGTTAATTATTATAAAAGAATACATTCTTCTATAAATTCTGATAATTTCTTTACTGTTTGTTTTCCAACAAAACCTATTCTTTTATCCGTTAAATATTAAATACAGTATGAAAGCAAGCTGTAAAATTCTTTTAAAATAAAACAGATAAGTGTATGCACTATACTTTAACTTTTATTAAAGATATTAATGAGTAATTTAAGACATTGATTAAGAAATGTAAAGAAAAAACTTTATTTTTCTTATATCTCAACTTAATTTATAATATAAATACTTGGTTAGTGTCTTCAAATTACATATAACTAGATCCAAAATTTTATTAGTTCTCAAAATTGGTTTAAAAATTAAATTAAATCAAACAAATCCTACTTTGTTTTCTTTTTTTTCTTCACCAATATCTTCAAATTAATCACTCTTTAAAAAGTTAAATTATACTACTCGCACTTTTCTGTTTTTTTATTTTTATTTTGAGGTTTCAAGTGACTCAAAATATTTGAGTTTTTTTCTTCTTTCATATCCATATAATTTTTTATTTGGTTTTTACTTTTTTTTTTCAAACAGAATATTGTTTTGTTTTTTTAAATATCACAAAACGAGTTAGTTTGTCCTCTCTATCTCGTAAAAAATGGGCGAACGTAAACTGATTCGGTATAGTTAAGATGAACTATAAATTCTAGCTGTTAAATGGCAGGTTTGCGATCAGTAAACGAGTCTATTAATAATTTTTTTTATATATTTTTAATTATAATCATTTTTATTTTTATTTTAATATATAAATATTATTTTAAAATAAGTAAGTGAATTATCTTACCCGTCCCGATCGATATCTCTAAATTAACAGGCCGAGTGAGATAAATACGGATTAAAAATCACTAATGTACTCCACCACTTTTTAATAGGTGGAGTAGGAGAACACTCACCCATCCTTGCTTATTTTGCTATCTTAGGTTTTTCACTAATAAATAAGTAAAAAATTAGACAATCATAAATAAAAATCCTTACCAGTCCAAGAGCATTACATTGACGGGCCATCACATATTTTTCTATTATCTTTATATCTATAATTTTAGGTAACTGATTAAGAATAAAACTACCTTTGTTTAACAATTGCAGAAAATATATTTTAATTATTTTATAAATTACAATTTTATATGCATATTAAGAAATGTTAAAGTATTATGCTCATTGGTAATCCTTCATTATTGGTTTAAAAAAATCACGATTTGTTCACAGTGAAACACGACTTATCTATTTTTATTGGAAAGTTGAAAGTAATTTGCACCATTTAAATGTGTAGTAGAATAGAGGAGGTAACAATTAAGTTTATTTAATCGTTTTTTATATAATTCAAATAATTTTTTTAAATTATTGTCAAATTATATCTTAATGAATCTGGATGCAATGCAGAAAAGAACTATTGACCCTTGCAGAAGCTTAATTGAAGATTATCTATGAGAGAGGGAAATAAAAAAAGAGAAAGTGAAAGTAACAAAAAATTTTGATTGCTCTCAAATGCTTATAGAGAAGGACTACTTATCTTTATCCTTACAAAAAGAAAAGATCATGACTGTTGAATGAAGTTTTTATTATGACCGTTGGATGAATTTTATGGGTCACTTTGATAACCCCCTTCAAGTTGGGCTAAATGTTAATGAGCCCAGCTTAGACATGAGATTATTGAAAATGGCTGGGGAGAGGTGCTAACGTGAAGAAGTTTGATTATACTTTTTTTATTTTTTCCCTTATCAAATGACAATTTATTTCTATGTATTTTGTCCTTTCATGGAACACTTGATTGGAAACTATTTGTATGGCTGAGAGATTGTCACAGTACAAAACAGAAAAGTTGTTGATGATAGATCCTAAAATCATGCATGAGGTGATGAAGCCACTGAATTTCACAGGTAGTTGAGGCAATGACCCGATACTTTGCTTCATAAGAGCTTCTGGATACAGTCTGTTGTTTCTTAGATTTCTAGTAAATGGGAGAGTCTCCAATGTAGATGATGTAGCCCATAATAGATCTCCTTGTAGTAGGGAATCCAGCCCAATCTGAATCACAAAAAGCTTTGAACTGAAGGTTGCTTGTTGAGTCAAAGAAAATCCCCTGTCCAGGATGTTGTTTAAGATAATGAAGAATCCTCATAGATGTTTGATGACGAATACTCGTGGGGGCGGCAATGAACTGACTTAAATGATGAACAACAAATGTGATGTCTGGTCTAGTGTGACTAAGGTATATGAGACGCCCAAGGAGTCTTCTAAAGGGAGTTGGGTCAATGAGGAGTTCTCCTGTATCCGTCATTTTACGTCAGGAAAATTCATAGAAGTAGACATAGGAACATATCCAAGCATTCCAGCCTCCTTAAGGATGTTAATAACATATTTACGCTGACACAAATGAATCCCTTTGCTGCTTGTTGAATTATTGACAAGCGTACCAAAATTATCAATCGCAGTATAGTATTTCGATAAAATAAAAGTCGATCCCACGAGGAACAGTTTCAATGAAAATTTCCAATTATGCTTACTAAGTATATTAAACAAATTGAATTTTGCAAATAAGAGTTGAGTTGAATTTAAATGACAAAGAACTGTAAATTGTTGAGAAAATATCAATTAAAGGTACTTAGGATTGATTTCCTTCCTTATCCCTCTTTTGTAATGGCTATGTCAATTAAGAACATCAATTAACCTAACAATGTTGATGTCACCTACTCAAATCATCCATGTTGATTCCTCACACATGAAATTCATAAGAAAACCTAATAAATGTTGATTCCTCACACAATTAACAGATTTTCCAGCATTAAGGTTAGGGTGTTTAAGCAATTGATACATTCATTTCATTCCTGGCAATTAACGTAACAAATATTCTTACCGTGATCTAGGGTTCAAGATATATTTTCCAATCATACATCAAACAATCAAGAATAAATCATTCCAAAACATAAAGGATAAGAATAACAACATCAAAACATAGATTAATATATCAAAATATCACCATGATACAAAAGAGTTCAAAGGAAGTGCAATGAATCCTAAGAGAATGAAGTTAGTCACTCATGTTGGCCATTACAATGCTCCAATTGATGAAGAAGTGAAGAATTGATGAAGATTAGACAAAACCCTAACAGTAGTCGTGCCTCCTCTCCTCCAAGACTGCTTGTTTTTCTCAAAACACAACTTATCTTTTTATAAGAGAATTTGGGTCGGACCTTGCATCATTCATTCGCTTAAGCGCTCTTTTTTCTTTCAATTTTACTCCAATTATGCTGACAATTATGCTCCTTACTCTTGTATCAAGGTATTCTCAAATTCATCCTATATTGGGAGAAAAATATATTAGAATTAACATAAGTTAAGTGGTTTTATAACAATTCAAGGCATAATTATATCAACTTTTTACAACTTAACACTGCTCCTTGCAATCTCAAAGCCAAGAAAATATGTCAAGTTGCCTAGATTTTTAATTTTAAAAGTGCAGTTAAGCAAGTTGGTAATATCACTTATTTCATCTATGTCATCTCTAGCTAAAATAACATCATCAAGATATATGAGCAAGGCAGTGATGCGGGAGTCATTAAACTTTAGGTATAAAAAGTGATCAGCAAAGGATTGATTATATCCATGAGAACATAAAACTCTAACAGCTTAGAGTACCACTGCCTACTCGCCTGCTTAAGGCCATACAATGATTTATCGAGACGACAAACAAGATTTTTATCACGATTATTGGTATCAGGAGGCAAATTCATGTAAACTTCCTCATCTAAGTCACCATGCAAAAAGACATTGTTGACATTTAATTATTTTAAATGCCAATTATGAATGGAAGCCAAGGATAAAAGTAACCTGATAGTTGTTATTTTTGCAACGGGTGAAAAGGTGTGCAAGTAATCAAGTCCTTCTTTTTGGGTATATCCCTTTGCTACAAGACGCACCTTATAGCATTCTATGCTCTCATCGACTCTGTATTTGACTTTATATACCCATTTGCATCCAATTCCATGTTTCCCTTTTGGTAAGGGAGTCACAGTCCAAGTTCTACTTTGCTCTAGAGTAGCCAGCTCTTCAGTCATAGCTTTATACCAATGCTCATGTTGAGAAGAAATCTCATAGGAATCAGGTTCCTCATGAGAATCAATGGAACAAACAACCTGTTTAAAAGAAGGAGATAATATTGCAAGGGAAACATAAGCATTAATGGGATACTTAGGCCTTTTCTCAGATTTAGTTATAAAGGAAGTCTGAAACTCTTTCAAATAAGCAGGAGCAGTTTTGTACCTAGTAGGTCTTCTAAGAGAAGCATCTTCTGTACCAGAATTAAAGTTTTATTCAATATTAGAAGTGTCAGACTCACAAAAACTAGTATTGTC